TGGGGAAATATCTTCACTCATTGCCTGGTTATCTCGCTACCACCTCACTAACTTCTCTTATTTTCTCAGTTCTCCTCACCCCTCTAATCTTTACATAAGTACTTTAGAAAAAAAGTGTGATATTGTGAGAAATCATTGCTAAATTTAATGTTTTTTTTTTTAATTTTTGTATGCAAATTATAGTACCACCTGCACAGAAATGTGTAATCTTTACGCAAATCACAACCAGAAATTGACATTTAAATTTTTTCTCTCTTCAGAGTAGTACCAAAATAAAACACAATCAATTATGGAAATGCTCATTTTGCATGAAATTTAGTTGCTTTGAACTTTAAAACAACCATAGTAAAAACAGTTTTTTGAAAATAATAAACTTTTTTTAAAATGCTTTTTAACTTTTGGTTAATTTTTTAAAAATTGATAACATAAAATACATAATCGGTCATGCTTTAGTCATGTCATAAAAATTAAGGGTAGTAGAACAATGTTATTATTCAAATGTAAGTGGTTATCATGTAATAATACTAAAACCATGTACTCAGATACAAATTATGCATAGAATAATGAACTATTTTACTTTACATTTTTAGAGAACTTTTGATTAAAAGTGATAGTGAATTATTTAAAATTTTATAATATTAAATAGATATAATTATTTCTTCTGAGAATTATAAATGCATTTTCACCTGCAACAGTCTCTCTTAATTTTACCATCTGGGTATTTGACTTTACTCTGTAGTACACAAAGAATATAAAAATTTAAGTTGAAATTCTTAACTTAAGAAATTTATATTCATGTCTTAACAAAACCACAAGTTTTTCTTATAGTCTAAAATGATTTTTTTTTGTTTTATTTAGTTCATTATTTGTTGTTTTCTAATATACAAAATCCAATATGAATGCATATTCAATATGAATGAAATCATATGTATGAGGTTTTTAAACTGTCTTTAAAATTGGACAAACTTCCTAAATTTTTTGAAGATTATTTTTTAATTTCAATTGTATCTTTAAATTTAGATTTTTTAAAAAATATTTATTTATTTATGCATACAAAAACTGGGGTACAAGTTAGCGGTGTGGGGGATGAGATGATTCACCAGAGAAAGAGCGGGGAGCAGAACAGGCAGATTGAATGAAATACACTGCTAAGGGGAGCAGCAGGCGAGTCAGGAGAGGTCTGCTGTGCCATGTGGGTTGCTCCCTGGCTGGCCTGGGATCGAACTCATGTTCAGTGGCTGTGGATAGCTTTATAGGTTACATCTTAACCCCTTGTGCCACCAGGGAGGCCCTATAGATTTTTTTTCCTTTTATGTTTCATATTTTATTTATACATTTTTTATATTCTTTTTCATTTTTGCACAATGTATGCATTTTCATCTTGGTTATAATCCCAATAAAATCTGCCACCCCCTATTTTGACCCTAATCTCTCCTCTCCCCCCCCACATAGTTGCTTGTTGATTTTGATTTTTAGTTTATTATAATTACCCTTTTTTCTGGTCTCTTATTTAGGGTTTCTAAATTCCTGTTATGAGTGAGGCCATCTGGTATTTTTTTTTTCCCTCCATCTTTGTTTTGTTTTTCCTGTGTCTATAATTCCAGGTTTGTGTAATCTAGTCTGTCACTAAATCAGGATTATGGGAATTAAGAGTGACATAAAGTTGAACAGGGAAAAACAGACTCTTAGCAAAATTAAAACTAATCACAGGAGCTCCCCTATCAGTGTACATTATGAGTAGTCTGAACAATTATTACTGGTTAATATAAAATTCAAACATTACTTTATTTCATTCCTTAAAAAGAGACGGAGAAAGTAGGCTAAGGTAATGATACTAAGTGGAAAGTGCTTTTTCTGGATCATTCAGGCTTAGATCTGACAAAAGTAGCAAGTAATCACTTGCAAGAGTTATGATTTGCTTCTACACCATTGGCATGTTCTTGCTACAGCTTGTGCTACATGTTGGGTTTTGTGTTAGGCACTAAGAAATCTAGCACATTAGGTATCCCCCACAAAAAACAGTCATTTGAAGGGATATGTATACTCCTATGTTTATTGCAGCACTATTTAGAATAGCCAAGTTATGAAAACAACCCAAGTGCTGAAGGACAGATGAGTGGAATAAGAATATATACACAATGGAATACTGCTCAGCTTTAAAAAAGATAAATTCATGCCATGTATGACAATATGGATGAAACTGGAGGGATAATGCAAAATGAATTAAGTCAGAAGGAGAATGACAAATAATGGATTGATTTCACTTAGATATGGATTACAGAGAAATAAAACAAAGGGTCAGATAACAAACTCTAGAAGTCTGACTATAGAATTGAGGCTACCTGAGGGGCAGGGGTATGAATTGGGCCCAATGGACTATAGAGGCAATCTATGGTATCTCAATGGTGGGTGTAATAGTAAAATACAACTGAAGCTGTGTGATTCTGAAACTCTGAATAGCATACAATATTGTAAACCAGTGTTACTTCAATTAAAATAAAAAGTACATTTCCCTCTCAATACTATATAATCTAGCATAGACAATAGTGTAGTACTTTCTTCTTTCTCTTTCACTCCTATGAGTGCCTACACTATTTTAGTGCCTACACTATTTTAGTCACTAAGGACGTAAAATCTTGACACTTATCCAGCAACTCTTCAGACATGACGTATAAATTATTTGAAATGAGGCAGTAGCAATCAGAGAGCAAAGAAGATTAGGGTAATATGGGGTCAGAGGAAGAAAATAGTTATTAATTAAATGCATATTATATGACAGACCTGCTCAGCATGGAATTATCTACCAAGCTTAATAGTCAGAAAATATTCTCAAATTCTGACAACACAAACACATATATATTTAAACACATCCTGATATAGTTAGAAATATAATGCACGAAAATAGTAGGAGAAAAAACCATATCTGTCTCAGGTCTTTCCTGATATGAAACAGATTCTTGCTGTATCAAAAACACTTTATATATTTAACAATTTATTTTTGGAAATGCATGTTAATTTTTACTCTTACTGTTCACTTTAATAATAGGAATGATTGCTTTGAAGTACAATAGGAAATATCATTATCATCTATTTTCATTAAAAGAGGACTCTGCAAAGGACTGCTTTAATTTAATATAGTATTTTCACAATATTGACATATCTATACCTAAAAGAAATACAATATTTGAAAATATCTTTAGGCATACTTTTTAGAATTTCTCATAATATATAGAAATTACTAAAATGAAATTTTGCTTTATATTAGTTCACATTATTTGAATGTGCTTCTAATCACCACTAGCTCTAACTCCAGCTATGTAGTATCATTTAGACCCTAAAGAGATGCTGTGGTCTCACAGTATGTCAATTATACACATGAACACAAATTACACATTGTACTCACTACATGAAAACAAAGATAAACTCTTGTCCTTGGTAACTATTTTAACATAATGAGACAATTTACTTGTAGGGGAAGAAATATCCCAAACTAGACACTATTCACCCTATTAATAACATAGATATGGAAATTTTGCCTAAAATGATTACATTAATGGTGCTTAAGAAGAAAAACAAAATAGTGAATAGGAGAGTGGGGCAAATAAGTGTTATATATTCAATTATTGATTAGTAATAATTTACCACTGAAAACTAACAAAGGGATTTTTACTAATCATAATACAGAATGCCAACAGAATGAAATTTTACCCTTATCAAATACCTATAAAACATTATATATTCTTTTGGTACCATCTCAATTGGTACCATTTCTTCAGTCTTGAACTAAATATTACAGTGCTTAGAATTGGATTTGAAAATTATTATTTTGATACAAATACTTTAAAATATTCTGCATTTTCAGTAAGTGCTACTTATTTAATATAAACATAATAATTGTACAGGATATTACATATTTAATCAGTTTATTGCTGATCACATAATCACATTCCAAAAATAAGGGTCAGTCACTAAAGAAATATATCAAACTTTGAAAACATACTTTTCTGCACAAAGAACAGTTTATGTACATTTTGGCTATGGCGTCTTCTGATTGACTAATCCCCATTTTTATTTTTGCAAGTTGAATGTTGCATGCATTCACGATTCTACTACTACAACTTACAGATGATATAATTTTCAATCTAAATCAAGAGAAATAATATACCTAAGAACCAAATAATGGTTTGACAACATATCTGGAGCAGCTTCCAATTCTCTTGAGAAATGAACTAAAATATTAGTTTGTTTTAAATTCACTTTTAGATTTCATTTTTATTGCTGTGCAATACTAAATACTAAATGCTAGGCAATAGCATTGCTGTTTCAATAAATTATCAATATACATAAAAATGAAAATCTTAAAGTATCAAAATTTTCCCCTCTTTAAACATTTAAACTACTCTCAAGAAACACTGGTGTAATGTCATCACAAGTTATTACTTTTTCCCCTTTTGCCAGTACATAAAAAGATAGAATATATCAACATATTTTCCCAAAGTACATACCTCAAAGATTTCAATTTTCTATAATCTATAATAAAATTTTCTATTAATTTCTATGTAGGAAAAATGATACAAGATGTTCTTATAATATATTGAATAGATTTCTACGAGAGTAACTCATCATCCCAACTTCAAATGTTTGCTCTATTTAAGAAGGGAATTTATCATTTAAATCTTTTTTTCAGGAAATGCCAACATTTTGTGAAAGCTTAATAAGAAGATACCAATGACAATTGGCAAAAATATTAACACCGAAATTGACTTTTAAAAGGAAATATATCTTTAAAAATTCACTTCTCTATCAGACATAAAATAAAGAGATTATTGGAAATTCATCACTGATGTCAATAAAAATTCAACAAGCAGATGAGTCAAACTAAATCATGAGTGAGTTGTGTGTACATTTGTTTTATAACTGAACTTTTAAAAGGACTTCCCATGGCTTTCTATAAAAATTAGAGAGAAATTGAAAAGTTGATACTTCATCTCAGCACTTACCTCATATGGGTGATGATGAGGGTTGTGCTAGGAATGAAAAAATCATCTACTCGGTCAAATTGCTTTCCCACAGGCTGGGTGTGGATGGTGTGGTGAGGCACATTCCCAGTAGCCAGGGTTATTACCTAAATATAAAAAATCATGTTTTGATCTTGGTGATGCATTCACTTAATAGTATGACCTGCTATTTTATTTACAGATGATATTTTTGTTTCCCTTGTGGCAGCTGTTTACATAGATTCTCCAATGCTATCCTCAAAATTAGTATAATATTAGCAAATTCCAGTTCTGCAATTGCTTCAAATCTTGCAATGTAAAATGTTCTATAAAGAAATTTAAAATATAAAAATATTTGCTTTGAAATATTTCTACCTAATATATAAAATAAATGCACATATAAGTTATGGTATTATGAAAGTATTAATTGTGCTGTAATGAGAAAAATAAAAACAAGGATACAGGTAATATAAAAGAGATACTAGCTTTTTCCATTAAATAGCTTTATTTAAATATAATTGATATATAAAACCTGATCTTCCTGTAGAACAAAGACAGAAACCTAGGACTGAAAACTCAAAAATAAAGCAGAGGACATATTTCAGCTTTTTGAAATCTTAGACTAGACAAAACCATATTTTAAAACTTTTTTCTTCCTAAAAATGGAAAAGAACTGATTTAAGTGAGTGATTTAATCAAAAAGGTTTCTTCTAACTATTCATCATTAATTGCTTCTTAAAACTTTCATAGTCCATAAAAGAAAAGATCAGTACATTTAATCTCTTTTATTCCTCATATTCTATTTTTCTCCAAATTCTATCAGTTCTTCCTTTAGCTTCCTCATACTGCTCATGCCTCTATTGTCCCTGCTGCACAGCCAGAGGAGTTTTTCAAAGGACTTTCCTGCCTTTACCTTTCCCCTTTTAAATCCTTTCTACATCAGGTCACCAAATTAAACTTAAACTATTGACTGATTCTCTCAAAACTGTGTTTTCCTTTGGTTTTTATGACAGAGTAAATAGTCTTTTTTTTTTTTATTTTTAAAGTTTTCTTTTTGAAAGGTTAGTTTTTATTCAATGACAATATTTTCATTGAGTTCCACTGGAAATTGCCCCATTCATTGAAAATAGATTTTACAATGGTCATGGCAGACTCAGTTGTTACAGAAAAACAGAAGACAAACCTAAAAGTCTTAGTGACTTAGGAAATAAAAATTTCATTTCACACCTGTTACTTTTCCAGAGGACTTTGAGGGCCAGTAGGCAGGTTACCTACTGTTTTGACTTAGTTTCCTAGGCTGAAGAATCAGCCACCTACCTGGAATACTTTCATTCACAACAGACCTTATTTTCCAGAACAATTCATAAAGCCCCATTTAACCAAAGGAACCCACTATGTACCTACAGGAAATGAAAATCAGTGCATTTGATAAAGCTTCAAAGACATCTACCTATTTTATTAATGAGTATCTGTGCTGAAGTCATCACTGGATTTTACTTTTATCATAATAATGTCTACTAGACTTTAATAAAGATCAATAAACTAACCGTGAAGGGATTCTACAAATTTGCTTTCCTTTAGATGGTCTAGAAATCTATAACTCCAAAAATCCATGTACCTGTATTTGAAATTGTAATAATACATAAACTAAAGGCAACAATAGTAATATCTGCTGAAAGCTTGCTATATGCTAATGTGTACTACATAGTTTCCAGGCAACACAAAATTTAATATGCAAATAGCACTGTAATATCTGTATTGCATCCCTGGGTGTATTTGCTGGTATCTCTTTTTGTGCCCAGTGCAGTCCTAAGCAAAAAAAAAAAAAAAAAAATGCACTGTCATGTGTCTAGTTCCATTCAGTCTAGACTTTGTTCTGTGATGGTTCTAGAACCTTCTTGCTGCTGAATTAAGTAGAGAGTGGTAGATTGTTAGGTTAAGACTGAGTTGACTGCCAACAAAGGCATACAGATTGATCTATGACGAATCTTAGGCAATAAGACCAATCGTGCAACACACCTACTCATTCCCAGTGGTATCCTACTGCTGGTCTCTCCATGTGTGATACTTTCACAAGCCCACAGTCACCACCCCCCACTAGTACCCCATCTGGCTGGGGTCTGTTTCCTGGCCAATAGCAATATGTAAGGACTTTATTCCAAGTTGTTTCTTGAGGATATTTTCTTCTTTAATTATTATGCATTTTGAAAAGATAGCACACATAAATTTTAAAACTGTAGAGATGACAGATTCATGATTATTATAACAGCATTTTTAAAAAATTTTCATAAGACATAAAGTTGCCTTTTAAAAACAAACAAAAAAAAGTCTATGGTATATCCTTGAGAATTCATTAGACAACACTTATTGGAAAATCAGTCTTACATACCGAAAATTATGAAAGCTATGTGTTTTTATTAATTAATTATAAGATCATAGAAAATATACAATCTGCTCCCATAACTGGCAAAGAAATATAGATTAAATTATAATCAAATGAAAACACAAAATAAAAATATAAGCAGGGCATTCTGATACTTAATAAAAAAGCTTTTTCACCTTCAAGTAGTAGCAGGTACCACTGTAAGAATAATGTATTAGGACAAAAGAGTTACTTCTTAGGATTTCCAATGTAGCATCAATCTTTTTTTCCATTCAAATCTTTCAAAATTATGAAATATTAACACTATAGCCAAACTGAAACCTTGCCCACATTTTTGGTTTGATGAATTCAATTCCCAAAAAGGAAAATCTGTTTTCCTTCCCAAACAAATTTTAAGTCCATTTTCCCTTGAGGGTGTTAATCTCATGAAAAGCAATTACCCACAGATATTTTTACATTTCTGCAAAATCAAGCCTTTCTAAGCAGAGGCCACTGGCACATTTGGCTAAGGAATGATGGCATAGCAAAAGTGCTTGGAAGCTAGAGATGGTGTATTGCTCCTGAGAGATATGGGGACTTATCGTCTTTGAACCAATTATTGACATCCCAGGGTACTGAGTGACATATTCTCCCAGGAGAATATGTGCATACATTCTAGAGCAACAGTCTCTATCTTTCAAAGGAGAGGATGGCCTGATGTGGCATCAGACTGAAAAAAAATAGACAAAGACTTATGATTCGAGGATCTTCTACTATAATGCAACTGTGCTACACAGGCAGGGTAACTTTAGCTTTATATATATATAAATATATACACACACACACACACACTCACACACACACACATATATATATACACATATACACACACATATATGTATGTACTGGAATTAAGCAGGAAGTGGTAGATTATTAGGTTAAGACTGAGTTCTCTCGGGCCTCCCCGGTGGCGCAGCGGTTGAACGCTGGGTTGCGAAGCTGCCCGCAGCCTCTGCGGCGCCGGTTCGATCCCCGGCTGCTCCCCGGCCACCAGAGGAGGGTCCCACATGGCGCGCAGACCTCTCCTGCTGCCCGCTGCTCCCCTCAGCAGTGTACTTCGGTCCTTCTGCCTGCTCTGCTCCCCGCTCTGGCTCTGGTGAATTCTCTCACCTTCCCACGCTTCTGACTGTACCCAGTGCTTGTATAAACAAGAAATAAATAAATCTTTTAAAAAAAAAAAAAAAGACTGAGTTCTCTCTCTCTCTCTCTCTCTCTCTCTATATATATATATATATATATATATATTTGTTAAGTTCTCATATAACTTCAAAAGAGAAGTAAATGACAAAATTGGTACCACATGTTCCCCAATTGCAAATGACTCTGTGCTCTGATAATAAAATACTATCAACTATCTGTTGTAGAAAAATGGAGGTCTGCTTCATGTTCTCTGATTACCTCTCCTGGGCACCACCACAGGTCCTACCCTTTGGGTCCCACCTTGAAAAAAGAGATGGAAGCAAGGAAATTATGAAAATTGGAAGAAGAAAGGAAATTGCAGATGTAGGTAATAACTTTTTCTCCCTTATAGCAGCAGTTTTAGATGGAAGGAAATTATTATTACATGGTTTTAAATATCTAATGATCACATCTAAATATTCAGACATCATTTTCTCTAATACACTTAATGGCACTTACCTGTAGTGTTGGAGAAGTCTTTTCCATGGTACCCCAGCTTAGCACCCAGACTTGATCATGTGATTTGTCATAATGTAATTTAACTGGGACAGGGTCTGTGCTCACTGCCTGTAATAAATAAGAGTTGAAACAAAATGATTACAGAATAAAATAATAGTTGAAAATTAGGTCAGAATTATGGAAGAATCCAAGAGCTTAGTTCAAACATTTGAATTGCCAATTACATGTTTTTATAAATTTTATTTGATTAATATAGAACTATGATACTTCACTCAGAACTATGTTTGCTTATTATCTGCACAATTGTATATCTTCTTGTGTTTATTTGTTTTCTATGTAAACTGTTTGGAGAAATATTTAAAACTCAAAATATTAATGATTAATATGTGAATTTTAATCACTTGTTGAAAGCAGGTGAGAACTATGTTTATTATATTATTAGGTTTCTCCAACAGAGTGTTGGTCATGGGAATGGATTCATCTTTAATGCCATAACTCCAATAACTGGATGTACAGTTGTAACTCTAAGAACCTATTCCTTAGTTTAGCTCACCTAATGAGGAATCTAAAACCACAGAAAGGAGGAGAAACAATTTATCACACCATATTTAACATGGTAAATGTGTTTTTCTACTAATATTTGTAATATTTAAAATTTACTTAAAATAAACTTCAGAAAACAATGCTGCCTGGAAGTTATTTAATTCACCTTAATTTCAAGTTATACATTCATTATGAGCTAACAACTTTTTAAGGTTCTTTTCTCTAGTATATAGTTGTACATATTTTCTAATGTTATAACATAAACAAGTAGTATTCAATAAAACCACCTTTCTCTGATCTCAAACATATTTCTTTCCAAAGCTTTGTCTTATATCCTTAAAGAATTTCCCAGGCTTAATTCATAATGGAATCCTCTTCTCAATGTATCCTTAAAGGTAAGCTACAGTTCAGGATGGACCGAGAGATTCATATTTTAACTGACATGCTGGTGGTGTAGTCTAACTAAGGAATTTTGCTTCTTAAACCTTGGCCTTCATTTACCTATTTAAAATTCACAATTCTTGTGTCCTCTGAGAACCAGGACACAGAAGATAAACAGGCAACTCTGGTAAACTGCCCAAAGAGGAAAGTAGCCATAAAAGAGGATGAAAAAGATAAGAAAGCTCAGAACCCTGCTACCCTTGCCCACCACATTGCTGGCACATTCCAACCAACAGAAAGGAGAAAACAAACAAAACAACAACAAAAACAAGAACAAATTAGAGATCAAGCAGAACAGTGAGTGGAAAGTAATGACTGCAAGCACCGCAACCCGCAAATGGGAACTGTGGAGAACCATACGGGAATTGCCCCGGTGGTGAGCAAACGGCTCTGGGCACCATTAGAAGAAGATAAGACTCCATGGAGAGACCTGCAAATAGCCCAAGGACAGCTGGTAAGCTTGTGTGGAAAAGCACGCCCATGCTCAAAAAGCATAGTTGGATCACGGCTGCCCGGGTCCCTGTGTCCACAACCTAGGTTTGTGGGGAGATGTGCAGGAATAGACACTGAGGTGAATGACCCTCACTGAGTAATCAAAAACCAGGTGCCCAGACAGGGGAGCAGGGTGCAAAAGCACCATTTCTGAGGACACTGAACTGGGATACTGCCCATGTCCTGGATCTGAGGGCTTTGGAACTGAGAAATGGAGCACGAAATTCAGGGTGTGGAGTCCCCACCATGGCGGGGCAGAGGGCAGACACAGCTCCCGCACACCGTTGAGGCACTCCACGCCAGCCCCACTCTGTTCCCCAGAGGGGGAAAATCACAGTTCTGGAAGGATACTAGGAACGATCTCTGGTGCCACCTAGTGATCAGAACAAAATCACCAACTTCCTGATAGTTGGAAGCTAGGGGCCCCAAAACTACCCTCCGCTCTGAGAGGGGGTGAGCCATGCAAACGGGGGTAAGAAGGGAAACAAGATGTGGAGCAAGACTCCATTCTGGAACTGAGAGCCATGTGCAGGATCCGGGTGTGGGGTGCACCCTTAACAGTGGGCATTTCACAGGGTGACAGCCAGTGTTTTGGATCTGATAGCCCTGGACCTGAGACCTAGAGTGCAGAATTCAGGGTGTGGAATCCATACAGCTGTGGGCACAGCACCAGATGAACACGGGGCAGACACAGCACTCAGCGTGAACAATAGCCCTGTATTGAGGTGCTGCCCTCCCCACCTCCATTTCTCAGAGAACCACTGGGAAAATCACAGGTCAGCAGGTACAGGTCTCTGGCACCAACTAGTGACCACAACAAAACCACCAACTAGTTGACTCCCTGTTGGAACTGATTAAATACAGAGGGAGGGACCTGTAAGGGACAGTGCCAAGCTACACAGCAGTCAACACCCTAGTGGAATTTTGCATACAGTGCTGGACTTGGTCTGGTAAACAGTTTTTGAAACCACTGAAGGAGCACCCCAAAGAGATGCCCGCCAACACCAGTGGCACAATGTCCCAACACATAGAACTAATTACAAAGCAAACAGCAGGGAGAAGGAAAAATATAAATAATCAAGCAAGCCTGCAGGAGGAGGACACACCACAAAAAGAAAAACGGTTACCAGAGCTCAAAAATGACATGGAAGAACTTTTGGCCTGCCAAATAGAGAATTAATGATCATCATGATTAAATAGATGAACTAAAATGAAAAGGAAAAAAATGATTTGAGACAAATAATCACTGAACTGAAGAATGAAACTGACACCTCAAGATAGGAAAGACAAGAAATGCAGGAGATTAAAAGATTACTAGAGGAGATAAAGAACTCTGTGAAAAGCAATGAAAACAGAATTGATGAAATGGAAGAATGGATCAGTACTCTTGAAGATACAGTAATAAAAAGAGACAAAAGAGAAAGGGAGAGAGAAGTGCAAAGGAAGAAGAATGAAGACATTATTCGACAATCATCAGACTTCATGAGATAGGAAATGTAAGAATTATAGGCATTCCAGAAGGTGAGGAGAGAGACAAAGAACTGAGAAATTATTCAAGGAGATAATTGAAGAAAACTTCCGAAGCATGAAAAAGGAGAATATAGACATACAAGAAGAGAGAAGAACACCCAATCGCCACAATGAAAAGAAAACTACAGAAAGAAACTTAATAGTAAAGCTTACAAGAGTCCAAGACAAGGAAAAAACAATGACTTCTTCAAGGGGGAAGAAACAGAAAATTTATAAAGGAAAACCAATCAGGTTAACTTCAGACTTCTCTGAAGAAATACTACAGGGAAGAAGAGAATGGACTAACATATTCAACAAACTTCAACACAGAAAATGCCAACCAATAGTACTTTACCCTGCAAAGCTGGCCTTCCTCTATAAAGAAAAAATATGGATCTTCTCAGACAAACAGAAACTCCTAAAGCCAAAAACAACAGAGGAATGAACAAGAAGAATAGAATAAAGCAAGAAATAAAATCACAAAGAAGACAAACAAAATGGCAAACACAGATGCCAATATATCAATATTAACTCTAAATGTAAATGGATTAAACTCACCAATAAAAAGACACAGAATAGCAGTCTGGATTAAAAAAAAAAATCCATTCTTCTGCTGTCTCTAGGAAACACATTAAACCATAAAAGATAAATATAGACTGATAGCAAAAGTTGGGAAAACAACCCTACAAGCAAATGGATCAAAAAAGAAGGCAGGAACAGCTACTTATATCAGATGAAAAATACTTCAAATTAAAAAAGGTAAAAAGAGACAAATAGGGACACTACATTATGATCAAAGAGATGATATACCAGGAAGAAATAATACTCATCAACATATACTCACCAAATGAAGGAACACCAAAATATATTAGACAATTATTGTCAGATCTGAAAACAGACATTAAAGAAAATACATATATAGTGGGAGACTTCAACTCTCACCAATGGACAGATCAACAAGACAAAAAATAAGCAAAGACACTAGAGCCCTAAATAAAGATATAGAACTTATGGACTTAACAGACATCTATAGGAAATTGCCCCCCCAAAAAAACTGAGTACACATTTTTCTCAAGCACACACAGATCATTCTCCAGAATTGATCACAACTGGGCCACAAGACAAACATCAACAGATACATGGAGATCAAAATCATTCCAACTATCTACTCTGATCATAAAGACATCAAACTAGAAATCATGAAAAGAAAACAAGGCACCCTCCCACTTCATGGAGATTGAAACCCACACTACTGGAAGACCACTGGACTAATGAGGAGATTAAACAAGAAATTAAAAAAAAAATACTTTGAGTTGAACAACAAGGAGGACATCACTTTCCAGAATGTATGGGATGCAGTAAAAGCAGTAATAAAAGGAAAATATATATCAGTACAGGCTCACATCAAGAAATAAGAAAGAACTCAAAGAAACAACCTAATCTCACATCTCAAAGAGCTAGAAAAAGAACAACAAAAACCCTCAAGCCAGTAGAAGAAAGGAAATAATAAAAATCAAAGCAGAAATAAACAAAATGGAAATAAAAAAAAAATCCAAAAGATCAATGAAACCAAAAGTTGGTTCTCTGAAAAAATAAACAATATAGACAAACCTCTAGTCAGGCTCACAAAGAAAAAAAAAAAAAAAACAGGAGAAAACACATATAAATAGGATTATAAATGAAAGACGAGCAATCACAACAGACTGTAGAAATAAAAAGAATAATCAGAGATTACTATGAACACTTATATGCAAACAAATCCAACATCCTAGAAGAGATTGGTGGACAACTTCCTAGAACAATACAATCATTCAAAGCTGAACAAAGAAGAAATAGAACAACTAAACAGACCAATTACAAACAGCAAAATTGAGGCAGTAATCAAAGTGATCCCCAAAAACAAAAGCCCAGGTCCAGATGGCTTCATAAATTAATTATGCCAAACATTCAGCAGTGTATTAGAGCCTATCCTACACAAACTCTTTCAAAAAATTGAAAAAGAAGGAATACTACCAGATACATTCTACAAAGCTAATTAATTAATACCATTAATACCAAAACCAAACAAAGACAGCGCAATAAAAGAAAATTGCAGGCCAATCCCCATAATGAACACTGATGCA